GCTTCGAAGTTTTACTGAAAAAAAGATCTTTATGGGCTAGTCTCTTAAATTTCCTCACAACATTTTTTGCTTTATTACGTAATCTGCAGAATATTTTCCAACTCTCTTCACTTCTTTCACTCAAATATACTTTATATGCAAGATCTCTTACAGACAAACTATACCGAATCTCACGAGATTTGTACCAGTCATCGCTTTTTATTCTGACCATATTTCTTCTAACTGGAAAAGCGGAATTAATGAAATGAAGATGTGTATTCAGCAAGCTTAACTGAACATCAACATCAGCCGTACTTAAAATCTCATTAAAATTGCACTGCGAAACTATACCTTCTAAAGCAGCAGTGTCAAGTGCATAATACAAGTCATAATACATTTTTTCACGAGGAACGTAAACATTAAGAGACATAAAAATAAAAGCATGATCAGACACGCCAGGACAAGATAACTGGTTGCTCAATTTTAAGAAATTTGAACAAGAACTGAGAAAGTAGTCTAACAATGATGTAGAAGCATGAGCAACATCATAGTGCGTAGTCTGCTTTTCCACAGGCAAATTTTTATTTGGCAAATACTGAGTTTGCAGGCGAGAGGGGTGCGAGGAAGAAAAACAAAAATTTGCCTGTTCAGAATTTGCCGTACACGCAAATTCTGCTTTGCTCTGTTCGTTGAAAACAATTTTGTTCACATTTCCTTTTGAACCTATTCGCTTTACTGACACACAGCCGGCTTTTGTTTACAAACCTGTTGCTTTAATTTGTGCAAGTGAAATTTAATTTTTAATTTTTGCAATTTATATAATAAAATATATAAAAAATAAATAAAATATTAAAAAAAATCTTTAAAATGCAAACACTTTTGACTTTTATTTTCTTTCTTTTGTATTTTGATTCGCAAATTTGGCAAAGAAAAATTTGCTAATGGAAAAGCAAGCGAAAATTTCAAAAGAGAAAACAAAAAATTTGCCAAATAAAAATCTGCCTGTGGAAAAGCAGACTAACACACATTCCTAACAATAAAACTTTTAGATACATCAAACAAATTGTTGTTAAAATCTCCCATGACAACAACATTGCCATATCTAACAACAATATCAGAAACTTCATTCTCCATAACATATATATCACCATGTGGGAGATAAACAACACCAACTAAAAACGTACAATTATTAAAAGTTAACTCGCAAAACAGATATTCCGCAACACCATACGAAGTACCTCTACACATAACCTTGTGTTTAATAGATTGGGAGATAAACAATGCAACACCACCTGCTCTTACATCAGTACGATCACTCCTGTAACATACATATCCTGGAATATGGACTGCATTAGAATGCACCGAAGACTTTAACGAAGTTTCAGTGACACCAAAGACATCCAAATGATTACCTTCTAACATACTCCTAATCTCATGAATCTTAAAGGTATTATTTTGCAATTTAAAACTTTTCACATTAATGTGACCAATGTTAAGATTATTTTTAAAGTTACATAACTGGGTTGACAAAAAAGAATTATCACTGACAATATCACCTAACATAGTAGAAAACATTTAAATAAATAAATTGCAAATAATAATTCCCGAAATATTAAAAAACTAATAAACTATCAACTACTCAGAAATATTCAGCATGATTTCAATGACAGCAGCACTATTATGCGGCAAGTTAGAAACTTCATTCTCAACATCCTTCAGCATATTAGCACAAACATTAATATCACATTCATTTTCGGTTCCATCGGGAAACATGATCAAAACTTTAGGGGTGTCAGCACTTATTAACTTAAATTTTCTGATTTCTTTGCATCTCCAAAGTTTGCGGCATATATACATTAATTTTGATGCTGCTCGATTGTGATGATCGTTCAAGTATATACGACTTCGAACATTCACACAAGCATCAATGGATCCCGCCGCCTTTGATAATTTGCCATAATGCAATCTCTGACATAAACGGAGTTAAATTTCACTAGCACCGACTTTCCTTTTGATACATAGCAACAATGGTATGTATTTCAATACCGCATAAGACAGAAATTTTTAGGATCTCTCAAGTTCTTAATTCCATCAGGTAATCCACTGATTTTTATATTGGATCGGTTTAGACGTCTTCTAAGTATGTCATTTTCAATTTCAGCTTCCTGCATTTCTCTTTCAAACTTCTTAACCGTCACACAACAATCTCTGAAATTTTCTTCTATTCGATGTATGCGTATATCAACATCTGTTCTTATTGTTTTAACAACATCTTTGATTTTCAACATAAAACTCTCAAACTGCTGTGTTAAACATAATTTGTAGAATTTGTATCGACTCAATGGCCTGCATACCAATGTCAGCACTATGTCGATAATGAGGATGTACATTATCGATAGGACTACTTTCAGTAGCAGCACTGTCACGATTATCACTATCAGTTTGCCTCTTAACACATGATGGACATTTAAACAAAAACATCATATTTTTCCTATTCTTATATGGGAAATTGTGCTGCTCCTTCGTAACATTAACACAATTTATGTGATAAAATAATCCACATATACAGCATCCAACACTGTTTTGATTACTTTTGACAGTGCTATCACACGTAGGGCACGTATATGTTTTTGTTGTAGAGGGCATTTTTTGTTGGTAATATAAACATAAACATCCAAATCCAGATACAAGATTGATCAGTAAGCAGCAACAAACGATCAATAAACAAAAGGGTCGCAAAAACAACAATTGTGTTATAACCAACAAATATTGGAGATGTTACAACAACACAGCAGTACAAAGTTTGAGAGACACCAAATACACACCGCACAGCAGCTGTTTCCAAATTTCAAAGTTGAACCAATAAATTCAACAACAATATATGCTAAGGCAGAGAGCATACAGCACAATTAAAATTTCTTCACCATACATACATCAGTAAGCATATAACATTAGCAGCAGTATGATTGCGCGGCAATTTAGCTAATTTTCTTCTTCTTACTCCGCTTCTACAGCAATAAATAAACAAATAACAAGCCAAACAACACTCCTCCAATAAAGGGCTAAGCAGAATGCACGCGTTGAGCCATCCGTCGCGTTATATGTTGTCGAAAATACAACAACCACAAGGAAGCGATATGCGTTTGTGTTATCGTTTCCTTGTGGTTGTTGTATTTTCGATAACATATAACGCGACGGATGGCTCGTAGTAGAGTTGGGCAATCTAGTTCACGTAGCGGATCGATCTTTCTCGTTCCTTTTTTTTTAAAGGAACTAGTTCCTTAATGTAGTTCATTTTCTCCATATAGTTCCTTTACTCTTACTTCATAGTTTCTTTGCTCCATATAGTTCCTTTACTCCATACAGTTCCTTTGCTCTTTATAGTTCCTTTGCTATTTATAATTCCTTTGCTCCACATAGTTCCAACTCCTACATAGTTCCTTTGAATCTCTCTCTTTCATCGTTCTTTTTTTTCGCTCACATAGGTCCGTATTGATTTGTTAATAGATGATTAAAAATTTATTTAAAAATAAATAAAAATATTTGAAACAAAAAAATAAAAATGTAAAGCCACATAGCCCAATATGCCTGATGAGCCGCTTAACCAACGGCGAAACGCGTCGCATAATGGTGGGTACGTAGGTTCTTCTCCTGGCTTTCCTTTTCATTGCAAAATTTAGATCATCAAGCTCGACTCGAAAGAGTATAAATAATCACTTAAAATCACTTTTCAAATGGTCACAAAAATTCAAATAACAAAAATTAATTTCAGCCGAGCACGGCTAGGGCTCGAACCTAGGTCCTCAGAGCAACACAGATGTTGCCAAGACCGCTTAACGTTCTGAGCCATCAACACTTCCAAAAACGGTTGCGCAAAAACATGTGTATACCAGGAAGCAATTGTAGGTGTGTGGATTAATTATCCATCGCTACAACAAAAATCTGCTTTGAAAAGGACTGTTCCTAGAATGAAGACAAATGTCGAACTTTGACAAATTTGAATTTAATTAGCATATGCAAGTTTCGCATCAGGGCGGAATAAATACAAGTTATCAACGTACGACCTTTGTAAAGCCACATAGCCCAATATGCCTGATGAGCCGCTTAACCAACGGCGAATATGCGTCGCAATTGTTCTTTATTAAATGTGCTCCCGTATTCAATTTACTCAATCTGCCTGCTGGGAAAGTTTGAGGAAGCAAATCTTTCTTCAAGGAATAACTCGCTATTCCCAGCATTTTCATATGTGTTACTCATATATATAGCAATGGCTCAGTTATAGGAAAGATGTGGAAGCGATAGAAATATAAATTTGATAGATTTTCATTCATGTTTTTCAATTTTTATTTTGAGGATTCGAAAATATTTCATTTTCAAAATAAAAATAATTTGATGATAATTTGTTTGTTTGTTTACATTTTTCTGTCAAATGAGTTGACACTAGTAGAACTTACAACAACAAATTTCCATGTGGTTGTTGTATCGTTTTTTGTACAACAACACTTGCTGTTACCTTCTATTATTATACCATGGTATGAAACAAGGAAAATGTAAAGCGGTGTACACACTATCATTTTTGACTGTCAATTTTTTATCGATTACTGACTGTCCAACAACCATGAATGTTTTTGTGGTTGCCTGATGAATGACAAACATGTGAGGCCACACTATCAAACAAGCAAAATTTGGGCAAGAGTGCCATTCAAAAATGATAGTTGGTCTGCTCCCGTACTACAAGAATCTACTATTTTTTACTACGATAACGAATTTTCCTTTATGATATCGAAGAAAATAGTAAAATCTAGTAGATTCTTGCAGTACGGGAACAGACCAAGTGTGTACACCGCATAAGCAAGAGTGCCATTCATAAGTGCTAGTGTGTACACCGCTTTAAATATGCCTTGCTCCGTACATTTCATCCGTTATCGAAAAAGTCGAAAACCGATTTTTTATTTGTTTATGAAATAACGTGCCGTACTTCTGTTAAATAATTTATAAGTCGTTGCATTTTTCGAAAAGCTATGAATATTTCTCTCAAGCTACTTGTTAATAATTTTAAAGGGCACCTTTATAGACCTATACTACGGAGCACCAGTAAAATAGCTGTAGATATTGATGAAAATGTAAGGAATCAAATTGAATCAGAAGCCATTCATCCAAGGCGGCATCCTGGAATTCTCAGAGGTAAACGAGTTGAACTGCCGGCAAAATTGCATACCTCTTTAGAAAAAGTTGTGGGAGACTATCCTCTAAAAACATTAAGTGATGATTGCAAGAAACTAAATCAGTTTATAGCATCCAGACATCCTCCTGCAGAACCGGATGAAATCAAAGATCGAATGAAGAATATAATGGAGGAGCTTGACGTCCTGATGCCGCCAAGCGATTGTCTATCCATGAATGAAGATGAGAAAAGAAAGTGGCAGCATCGCAAAGAGCAACTTATAAAAAGACGAATGAAAGAACGGACATTTGCTTGGAAACCTATTAAATATGGTCGTTATGAGGCTATAGTATATGCCTTGGGCAGGGGTCCATTAGAGTTTGCGGTGTTGACAAGAATATTACAGGAAATATCAGAACGTGATACAGGTTTTAAGCCGCAAAGCTACTTAGATTTCGGTTCTGGAATTGGTTCTGGTATGTGGGCGGTTAGCTATTTATGGAAGGACTCTATCTACGAGTACTATAATGTTGACAGTTCTCGCGACATGAATGAACTATCGGAATTAATTTTGAAGGATGGTAACGAAAATCAACAAATTACACTAAGAAATGTATTCTATCGCCAGTTTCTACCTGCACTTGAGGTAGGATGTTATAAGTGATGATTGTTAAGCGTAATAATAATAATATAATTTTTTCAGACGAAATATGATTTGGTTGTATCGTCATACTCGCTTTTTGAATTAGCAAATGCTCAGAGTCGTAGAGAAGTTATATTGAATTTATGGAAAAAGTGTGATGGATACCTTGTCATTGTGGAAGAAGGATCCAGGCGCGGGAGTCAATTAGTAAACGAAGCTAGAGACATAATACTCTCTCAAGAAGACCATAGCCTCGTAGGGCACGTGTTCGCTCCGGTAAGTTCAGTTATAATGTATTATAACATGGATTGTGAACTTTTTGACTAGGTACCGACAAACACAGACGACTAAAAGTATGATTGACTTTATGTTTATGCTGATGTCTGAATTAAACGGTACAATGGGATTTAATGTTGGTTAATTGTAGTTAACACGATTATTCATTAATTACATTTTCAGTGCCCCCATGACTTCACCTGCCCACGTTTATCAAATTCTGAAGATAATACACCTTGTAATTTTCAAATAAATTATAAGCCATTAAGATTTGCTGGTAACGTCTCCAAAGATCCTGTAGCAAGGTATAGTTATGTCGTAATAAAAAAAGGCATTCCCAGCGATCCCACGCGTTCTTGGCCGCGAATAGTTAGGCCGACATTGGTTCGCTCAAAGCATTCGATATGCAGGATGTGTACTTCGAGTGGAGATTTGACTGAAATTATTTTCACACAGTCTAAACACGGAAAGTGAGTGTTGTTTTCTTATAATTCATACATAAATAGATTTATTTAAAAATCTTATTATAGGAACGCGTATAGATGTGCAAGATCTAGTAGATGGGGTGATCGTCTGCCTATAATAATTGGAGAGAAATACGACACAAAAGCTAAATAAAAGAGTACAACGTGTTATTCTAATGTAAAATACCTATATTAAATTAAATACAAAATTAAATATGTTATATTTTTTGCAATCATCGCCTTTGTTGGCGTAGTCGTGTTAAAAATTTGGCACTGTCGTATTTATTTTTGCTTTGATTGTGTAACACAGTAAAAGGAAAATCTATTGCCAAATTTGGCGTAGTCGTAAATTTTATATAATACCAACCAAAAACGACTAAGACAACGCTAACGGGAGATGGCGTACTGCAACTACGCCTACCGTAATAAGGGTGGATATCTTGCAGGATAGTTTTTCATAGATGCCTTCACGTTGATGGTGCATAAATGATTTTTTAACACGAATGACTCATTTCAGACTCATTAATCAGTTTTGACTCCATATACCAAATACTAAATTTATGAATATAGACTTTCTAAATTAATGAATTCGACTTTCCGTTTAACAGCAACAAAAATAGTAAGTTCCCTTCAAATGTGTTTTATTAAATTTGAATGTTGACGTAAGCATTTTAATACATTTTTAAGATAAAAATGTTTATATTAAGGTAAAAAATTACCATTTTGTAGACTTACTAATTAAAAACATAATCTGAAATGTGAACAAAAATCTATGCAGCTAAATAACAAACCATTTAAATTCTACTGTAGGCTTGTTTAGTTGTAATGCAAAAACAATATTGCATCTATTAAATTTCCGGTCAGCATAAACCGTTTCTGATGTTCCGAAATTTGTTGTTTGATCGATTTTTTATAATTCATGTTAACTACACAAGGGAGACATTGGTACTGGACTGCTAAATGCTTCAATGTACTATATAAATGGCTCATTTTGTTCCACCACAAAAATGGCGATTCATCCAGCGAAACATATACATCTGAGCGATAACGTTTCAAATCTGTCTCCACATTGCTTGGCTCTTGAGTTACAGGCTGCTCAACAGGACCTTCAGTCAAATCAAAGAACAGTTCTAAATCTACAAGAAAAAAATATATATGTATAAAGTTACGGTAAAATTCAATGATAATGATAGAATATAAAACATACTTGATTTTTTAATTATGGACCCGGATGAAGATTTAACCCCACTATTGTTTGTCCTCGTTAATGGTTTAATCGGGGAAATTCCCTGGGATTCAACGATTCGGTCATATTTTTCTGTGAGTATTTGGACACACGCATTGTAATTGGTAACGTTCGTTAGTCGATGAAACCGAGGATCCAGCAATGCTGATATTGTCAAGTGTATATCTGACAAAACCCTGCAAATATATAACGTTAAAAATTATAACATTTAAGGGAGAATATCTTGCTTCACGTACATTTTATCAAGCGTTGTGTTAATTGTGTCCTTTATAGTTGCAGCGAAATGGTCATCTCCTTCCGTTATTACAAGTTTCTTTGTCAAGACTTTTGAGGTAATTGGTGAAAGCATGCTACTCAAAGGTATTTCTTCACCTTTTAGTGTTTCAATAGTAACCTGTAGAACATAACGAAAACAATTGATAAACAAGTTGTCTGAACAATTATGACATTGAGATAACATTTCCTTTAACAGAGTCAGACTAGCTAACAGTTTACTCTAACTGTGTAAGAAAATTGAATCGATTTGCTAAAAAAGTCGACAAACGTTGACTTTTTGTCCACGATGGAAATTAACTTATATATATATATATATATATCAGATAGCTAAGGTTCTATTAACATACCGCTAAATTGCCTAGAATGTCATAAATAACTTTTGAAGAAGTGACTAAAGCCTCGACATCTTCCGGCCAAGATACAGTTTCGGAGAAAAACTTGAGTAACTCATAGTATGTCCAAGGAAATTCGTTGGATAGTTGGGGAATTTCCACGTCCTATGAAGTATATATTAATTTATAGTAGAATCAGGTAATAATAGAGCTACTTTTTTGTACTTACCTTTGCACTTATTTCTAAATGATACCGCATTAAGGTGTCCTTCACTTCTTCAATTATTGAGGCAACAGCCGGTATAGCTATAACGTTCTTAATACAATGATTGACAACTGTATCATATGATAAAATAACGGGAATATCTATCACCAAAAATAAAGATAAATGCCAATTAGATTACATTTTATTACATTAAACTCATTTCCAATCACTTACTTTTCTCATTTAAGAAATGTTTAAGGTATTCATCATAATCACAATTTATTATTGCTGCAGTGCAGTTATTCAAATTAAAATCTTCGAAGATATTGTCAATAACTGTGAACTTATTGTATTCGATTGTGCAGTAAATTTGAGTTATCAGATTGAAGTCAGGTGCATCTGTAGTATAGTTGAAATAAATAGATAGAAAGTGCTTCTGTTCAACATTCTCCCAAATTTCAAAGCCTAGCGAAAATGGCTTTATCTGGGAGTGTACTTTAATTTGATCTGCCAAACTTGTTTGCTTATCGCTGTGAACCTCTTTAATATAGGTTTCAATCTAAAATGAGAAAAAAATATGTATAAGTACATTTCAAATATCATACAAATTTTATTTCACATTTTATTTGTTAATATGTAGTTTGTATATAAGTAAGTCTTAATGTAGGTATGTATCAGTAGTTGAAATCTTCTATATTTTAACTGAAATAACTAGAAATATTTATTTATTTTTATTTATTTATTTTCAAATTCATTTATGATACAAAGCCTTAAGGCCATTAATACGTATCAGCTGACAAATATACATAGCCTGAGATACATTATATATTAAACCTAAATAAATATAACTAATTTTACTTTGATAAAAATAGAATGAAGGCTCCCCAGCCATAAAAATATAGATTTTAACATATATCCAATAAGCAGCACATGTATAAGAATATCCACACATTATTGTAGGGAATTGTCAAAATTACATAGAACTTTTAAACGGAAAACATTGTTACTATGTGAAAAAACACGTAATTCAAGTGGAAGGGTATTCCAACATCTCGCAACTCTAACCAAAAAAGATCTTGCGAAGATATTTTTATAGATTCTAGGAATACAGACCTGTGGGTTTCTAGAAGAAATTGAAAAAGAAAATAAAATTCTCAAGGATACGGGGGAATCATTTTTAATTATTTTATAAAAAAGGAATAAGCAACGATATTTAACAAACATGTCAAAGGAACACCCTAGAAACTGCTTAACATATCGTGACACATGACTATCTCGCCTGAGATTATAGACAAACCGCGTTATAGAATTTACAATCCGTTTTACTCTTTCCATATTAAAAGCAATTGTCCCAGAATATACTTCAAGTCCATATAAAACCTGAGACATTAAAAGGGAATTAGCTAGAATTTGCTTTATCCGATGATTTAAGTACAAATTAGAAGAATAAATCCTACGTAATGTGCCCCATACTTTACCGGTCAATGCATCAATATGGGATTTAATTTTATCTGTCACAAAATATGAAAAGCCATTTGAAATAATCTTCAACAATATTGTTATCTACCTCTTTATACAAATTAAACCGTGACTTTTGTCAATGATGTTTTTTTTTCAACACTATAGAAAATGCATATTAAAATTTTTTTCATCCGATTTTTTTTTTATAACGACAAAAAATGTAAATAAGAGTAGATTAGAATTTCTAATTATCTTTATATATATAAAAATGGAGCAAGAAAAATGTATACTAACGTATCAATTAAGAATGGCTGGATCGATTTGACTCAAAATTTCTTTCAGTTGTCGGTAATTACAGTGTGAAGGTTTTTATGGACCGATTTGACTTAAAGTTTCTGTTAGTAGTCTGTGGAAAGGTTTTAATGAAAGAATATTTAAAAAAAATTCGCAAAAATGTTGCAAAATATATTTTGAAAGATATTAGCATTTCAACACATTTTATATTGAACCTTTATGATGTCCTTCTTCGTAGTTCTTTTTGAACATATTTTGGGCGATGGAAAATTATCAAAATATGTTAATTTTCTACAATTAATTGGATTGTCATTACCTTGAAAAAACTATTGTGTATGAAAATAAATTTATATTTTCATTCGAGTTAAATTTAATAATGAGAAATCGAAGAGTAAGATTAATCGCTATCATTATTTGCTCATGTTTTCCATAAAATCAAGATTTATTTACTTTGAATACATAAGTTATGTTATGTGAAGAAATTTGCATGGTATGTATAGGTTGCGAAATTATGAGGGAAGTTTCTTACCCTATGGGGAATACCGAATAAAAGGCAATTAAATAGATATTTTATACTATTTTCCCAGTACTTTAGGATATGGATGCTTTAAAGCGTACAATAATGGAACAAATTGTTTTGAACTTATAAATACAACAAACAAACGAAACCGCCTATGAAAGAATTCAATACAGTTCAATGATGTTAGTAATTCGCTATATACGATTACAAATACGTCAACAAAATACGAAGGTATTATTGAACATTTTCTTATATTCGGAAAGAATATATAGATTTAATTCCGCATTACATGTTGTTTGTGTCTAAGAGAGAAAGAATAATAATAATTTCAAGAAAATCATAGATGAAGAGCTAAACTCAACATGATCAAGCCTTTAACATAAGTATACTAAGTATTAGATAGCAAGCAAGTTTTAATATTTCAGTTTATATTATTTTTTATGAAGCAAAAACGAACCTTAAAAACTTTCATGTTATTGTGTTTAATATTGGCGAAGAAAATATTGGTACCATTCTCGATGATTTTCAGCAAATGGAAGACTTTAAACTTTGCATATAATCACTTAAAGGAAAAAAATTGTTGTGGTTGCTTTGTAGTTGTTTTTTGAAATTAAAGAAAATTCATTTTCGATGGCGGGCATAATTTCCGATCACTGGAACATCCGAATCCGAAAATTCCAACGGAATTCGAAAGATTACATCTGTCTGGCTCTGGTATGAACTAGGAGGTACATCTGTTCTTGGGTTACAAGAGGTGTAACTAAAGACTTTTCCTTATATATATATATATATAGATTTAGACTGATAATTGGAAATTTTTTAGACTTTTGACAAAAAAGCTGCACAAATTAATAAAAAATTGATTTATGCTTAAAAAAAAAAACAAATTATGGAAAATTCTACTTTCATTCAATATAATGTACTCAGAAGGGCGTAAAATTAAGGATGCACAGATCCCTCAAGTGTCGATTACTGATACATTAACCCTATATTAGATAATGTTCTTTCTAACTATTGATACGAATAGGGACGGCTGGATTGATAGCATTTCTAAAACTACACTATGGAACAAATCAACTAGAGACATTTTCATATTCTATAATTTGAAATCCACTTCAAACACTCACTTTTTTTAAGGCGGGAATTGTTATATTACCGCAGATAGTACGAATAAATTTAGTCATTCCTTCATCATATAAGGTATCCACGTTCCTAATGTCATTCACCACCAAATTGGCCAAGGCCTCCAACATTTGGTAATCGTCAATGGCCAATTCATGTTCAATGTTATTGGAAGTGGTGGTAATGCAATACTTCCGCTCATTACGATTGACAGTCAATAGATCGGTTGTGCATGGAGATGTTTTGATATCATTGGCGTTTGATACTTCGATTTTTGTAAAATGATTACTATCAATAACATCATCATCGTCATATGTCATCGGCACCACCGATTCATAGAGAATGGACTGCTCGTCGTGTTCATCGTTACAAGCTGATTCGTTCGATATAGTGCTATGCATTGTTGGCGGAGAGTATTCCATCTTGATCTTAGGCTTTTTGGGTTCCCGCTTTATTTTGGTTAATGGTTTTGGGATAGGCGCTTTTCTCGGCGGCACGGCAATGTTATTCTCCTGCACGAGCATATCAAAAATCTCTTTGTGACGATACTGTAAATGCGCCCGCAGATTCGTGGTGTTACCATGATTTGTCAATACCCGGTGGCATAGAGTGCAAACAACATTTTGTTTCGTTATGATGCAGTCGTCGTCGCCCATGGGAAACCCGAAGTGACGCCAATACACACTTTTCATTTTTGGGCTGTGTAATTTGGTGAATTTTAGTGATGTTATTTGCGGATTTTCCTGCAGCGGGTCACTCATGTTGATTGTTTCTTTTTCTCCGGCAAGGGGGTATGATCGATATTCTCTTATTGTTTTCACTTAATGTTTACGTATTTTTTTGAAAATAATCTATCAATTATTGATATTTCTCGGAAGTTTTATACAATCGCGTCATCGACTTATCTATATCGAATGATTGCGGTTAATCGGCAACTAGCGTGGTGGGTACTCGACACAGGGTTGTATTTTAACGAAAATAGTTCACGTTTCGAAAGTAACCACATATTTTTCGATATTTTTATGTTGGCTGCCCTTTTTCCTTTTTGATTCGTTGTTGGGAAGGAAAGGTTCGTAAAAAATTTTGTGCCGTGAATTTTGTGAAGATTAAACGGAATTTTATTTATTTTGGAAATAATAATGCTCAATTGTAACCATAAATATGTGCAACCGTGAATTAATGCAGAATTCCAATGAGATTTAATATACTATTGTGAAATTTTATCCAATTTTTAACATGCGGAAACACGTGGTCCTCTACTATGCTATGTTTTTTATTTATTTGTGGTTATATTGAGAATTGACTGATGTGAAATTTTGTTTATGTACTGATAATCTGCAGAACTTTTCATAAGTAATAATTTATTTTTCAGTCTAAACAACAAAGATGGGTAAGGGAAATAATATGATTCCAAATGCTCACTTCCACAAGTGGTGGCAGCGACATGTGAAAACCTGGTTCAACCAGCCTGCACGTAAAATCCGCAGACGCCAAAATCGCATTAAGAAAGCCAAGGCTGTGTTCCCCCGTCCCGCTGCCGGTCCCCTACGCCCAGTTGTCCGTTGCCCCACCATCCGTTACCACACCAAACTACGCGCTGGCCGTGGTTTTACTTTGGAAGAATTGAAGGTATGTTCAAAAATTGAATGTGATTTACGTGATGCATTTGTTCAAGCAGTGTCGTTTATTTCAAATGTTATAGGGAGCCGGCATTCCAGCTGGTTTCGCAAAGACCGTTGGTATCGCTGTTGATCGTAGACGCAAGAATAAGTCTATTGAATCCCGCCAACGCAACATTCAACGTTTGAAGGAATACAAGAGCAAATTGATTCTCTTCCCCATCAACGAGAAGAAGATCCGCAAGGGTGAATCTTCTCTTGAAGAATGCAAGTTGGCCACTCAACTTAAGGGTGAAGTTATGCCCATTAAGAAGGAACAACCTGTTGTTGAATTCCGTGAAGTATCCAAGGATGAGAAGAAATTCAAGGCTTTCGCTACTTTGCGCAAGGTAATAAACGCAAATATATACTTAATTGTTCATCACTAACATTTATTTAAATTTTCAGGCTCGTTCTGATGCTCGTCTTGTTGGTATCCGCGCCAAACAAGCCCGTGAAAATGCTGAAAACGAAGATCCCAGCAAGAAGAAGTAATCATTATATAGTTTTTAAAGAAACTATAATTTTACAATAAAAAGTCTTGTAAAGAATTTTTTAAAATCATGTCGTTTTTTATTTTTGAAATATTTACATTTGTTGTTACTATGAAATTCGTAGATACTATAATGCAATTATAGTGTTTTTTTTTTGGAAACATGTCATTTTGTGAATGAATGTGTGGGAGTTTGATAGACGCACACACGAAGGGGTTCATGAGCATGACAGCATAATGTATGAGTGGGGCCATTAGTCCTAACAATCTAAATTGATTTATGTATATTGGGCCATCTTCCTATGTATACTTGTAGGTAATATAAAATTTATTGTTGTTAGCAAGAATCATTGAATCTACGAAACACATATTTTTTTAGTTTAAAATTTCTAAGTTGGAAGTCTTCGAGCGGCTATTTTAGACCTTATATGTAAAGTTGGGCTAGCGAAAATAGGAAAAAAGTTATGAGGATCCATAAAAGTATATATAAATACCACTGTAAAGCCACATAGCCCAATATGCCTGATGAGCTGCTAAACCAACGGCATAATTGTGGGTACGTAGGTTCTTCTCCTGGCTTTCCTATTCATTGAAAAACTTGACTTGAAAGAGTATAAGTAACTCATTTAAAATATATCTATAAATTCTGAAAACTCAATAATCGGTAAAAATTTGGAGGCGCTTTGTGTTGACGAAGCCAGAAGGCTTTGTACCCCAGTTTCTTGACTGTAAAGTACAAGTCAGATTTCATAGGGTAGACTGAAGCGATTTCAAAATTTTTTAGTACGCCTATAAAGAACTAAATTGTGTGGTCCCATCGAGTTCGCTATGACCGGGCTCGACTGTGCTTGTAGAGTACATCATAAAAACCTATTGAACATATTAGGTTGGGGAAAAAGAAATCCGTAAAGTATCGATCATGGTCCAGTTAACAGGTCGAGTAAGAGGCGAATATTATCGGCCATGGCCTATAAATAGATAATATTATATTATTATATTATATTAATAGATCTCGTTATCGGCCATTTTGGTAAAAAATCCCTCAAACAGTCTATTTTTTTGACAATTTCAGATTTATGCTCGTTGGAAGGGTGGCATTTCGCATTAAATTATTTTGCTGTTTTTTGTTTGGTGCATTCAGTTGTGAGTTACAGGGTGTTAAAAATGGAAGTGAAGAAAGAGAAAATTCGGTACATTTTACAGTTTTTCATTGACACAGATGAAAATGCAAGCTTTAAAAGTCAATTATGTGCAATTTTGGTTTTGTAGATTCCGTTCAGGAATTTTTGATATTAAAGATGCACCTTGCACAGGTAGGCCGGTCGTCGAAAATGTCGATAAAATCGGAGAAATGATCGAAGTTGACCGGCATGTTAGCAGTAGTAACTCAGGAGATAAAAATCGACCATACCTGTTTTAAACCATTTACAGCATTTAAATGGGCATTGAAAATACATTTAATGGGTTGTTCCCGTACTGCAATAATCTACAATCTTTACTACGATAACAATTTTTCCTTTTTGATATTAAAAAAAAAAACAAATATATAGTAAAAAATATGAGATTCTTGCAGTACGGGGACATACCATAAATGGATATATTTTTGGAAAGTGGACCCATCTTCATTGTGTTTCATATGAATAGTGATCTTATACCCAAAATATCGAAGACGTCACGTATTATTAAATGGGTTGTATATACCAAGAAGTGGTAATTGGTCTGTTCCAGAACCTTCAAAAATATACTATTTTGAACTACGATAACAAATTTCCCTTTATGATATCGGAAAAAATGGTAAAAATTATTAGTTTCTTGCAGTAGGGAGACAGACCAAATATGTTTTCAGAAGTTGTTTTAAGCATCTTAGCACTCAAAACCCAACATAACAGTTCCCCACTACATCATCCATGGGTATAAGTATATATTAGTATAACAAACGACTTTCTCTAATGATTGTGGTCGAATTAATTACGAAATTATTATGTGATCTATATATATATATACATAAATTATTTATAAATTAATTTGCAATCTATCTGCAACTTCATGGGCAACCGGCCAAAAATCGGTTTGTATAATTTTGAACATAGAGTCTTCGGCGCAATATTCGCATAAAATTCATACAATATTACATGGCATGGTACAATAATACAAGGTAGGGCAGCTTGAGGTGAATAACAAAAAAGCAACTATGGACGTGTGGCCTCTTCTGCCAAAAATAAAATAAATATACGCAACAAGTGTTTGTGTTTATTTGACATTTTTTAACACAAAACTAACCAGTAAGGAAAGTAGTAAAGTCGGACGGGGCCGACTATATGATACCCTTCACCACTATGAGTATATTAAACAGGGCTAATAACATGAAATTGGATGAAATAAAATATGTGATATTTATCTAAATGTGAATCGACTTAGATCTATCCATAAACATGTCATTCGTTTGTTACAATGGGACAAAAGTATGTAAATCGACTTCAAAAAAATATCATTAGGTCATCCGTTGGGCTATGTCTGTACTTCTAGAAAACGCAACTACGTAATTCTATGCTCAATTTTGTACGTTGTGCAAAATTTGATGCCAATCTGACTAACGTGAGGAATTTGATGCCCAATTTACTTAAAATCGGGTGAAAATATATATGGAAGCTATATCCAAATATGAACCGATTTCAACGAAACTAATCACAGGTTAGGTTACACTAATTTCAGTAAGTTTTGTTCCTATCAGCCATATATTGGTCCCTTGGTGCGTCAATTTCTTAAAATCAATCTATAATATATGGAAGCTCTATCTAAATGTCAACCGATTTTCACAAAAACTTGGCACACATCATTCTGTACTAAATTCAGTACGCCAAATTTCGTGCAAATCGAAAGATATATGTGGATTTTGGTGCACCATTTACATGAAATCGGACGAAACTATATATGGGAGCTATATCTAAATCTGGTCCGATTTTCACGAAACTTGACAGACATCATTCTAGACCCAAATGATTAGGCTGTACCAAATTTCGTGCAAATCGAAAGATATATAGGGACTTTGGGGCACCATTTACATTAAATCGGACGAAACTATATATGGGAGCTATATCTAAATCAGGACCGATTTTCATGAAACTTGGCAGATATCATTTTAGGCTCAATTCAGTACGTTATGCACAATTTCGGGCAAATCGAAAGATATATAGGGACTTTGGGGCACCATTTACATGAAATCGGACGAAACTATATATGGGAGCTATATCTAAATCTGGACCGATTTTCACGAAACTTGCCAGACATCATTCTAGACCCAAATGATTAGGCTGTACCAAATTTCGTGCAAATCCAAAGATATATAGGGACTTTGGGGCACCATTTACATAAAATCGGACGAAACTATATATGGGAGCTATATCTAAATCGGGGCCGATTTTCTCGAAACTTGGCAGACATCACTCTAGGCTTAATTCAGTACGTTATGCAGAATTTCGTGCAAATCAAAAGATATATAGGGACTTTGGGGCACCATTTACATGAAATCGGACGAAACTATATATGGGAGCTATATCTAAATCTGGACCGATTTTCACGAAACTTGGCAGATATCATTCTAGGCCTAATTGATTAGGCTGTAC